GTACCCTCGGGGGAGGGGGCGGGTGGTGTGTGTGTGTGTGTGTGTGTGTGTGTGTGTGTGTGTATATATATATCTGTATGGCTTTGCTAACTGATGGTCAATGGGAAATATAAAATATTGATTATAAGTAACTGAAAGATGCACACATCATGGAAGAGATGTGTATCTTTCTTTAGAGAAAGCCTGAGGCATGTAACTAGGAATGCTGTGATGAAACTGAGCAGAACAAATTTTGAGTGACTCCTATATAAAATATACAGTATATTAGTCATTTCAAATTCAAAAGGGTACAGTAGGGACCAATTTATGCTAGTATGGGGTGGACAAGAGGACTTAGATCTTCTGTCTCTAAAATTACTGGTGGTTTTTCCTACATTTTGGTGAAAAAAAAATTGTTTTTTTTCCCTAAGGGAGGAGAATCTAGACACTAGCTTAAGACTAAAACATTCCTCTTCAAGTTGGCAGAGATTCCAAAACCAATGTTCCTTCTCTAGTGCTTTCTTTGTCTACTTGTGATGGTGCGCTACATCCTGTTGGGTTTTGGCTATTTGCTTTACAAATTCTTTGCTTAGCTGGTCAAGTGAAATTTTAGTGGCCCCAAATTGCTGTGCATTCTCCAGTATTTGTGCTATATGCTCTAAGATTTGCAGTGACCTATGGAATTGATGAAGCCTCCATAAACCACCACTTTTTTTTTTTACTGTGTAACAATGTTGTCTTTAGAACAACACAATCTTTATTTTGTTCACTATTGACTTAAGAAAATAGTATTAGTAATGTACACTAGTACTTTAAATGGAAAGCAGGTACTTCTGGTTGTATTTAACCTATTGTATGGCACAGAGTTCAAGATAGTAAGAACAACCCCATGAACTTTAAATAATTGTCTTAAAAGTTGGTGAGGAAGAGAGAGTTCTGGAAGAAGGGGCGTCTGATGCTCTAGTCTTGTTGATATTAGGAGCATCATTTCAGATGTGCAGTGGTGCAGAAACTGAATCTCCCAAATAAGGATTGAGGTGATGCTCCTAACCTCCGCAGGAATTGAAACATCACCATCCATCTGTCCCTGCCATATTTCACTCCTAACCAGGTGTTCTCATTCCAAACCTCAATCCCCTCTTTTCTGTCAATCACACTAATGAAACTCCCTTCTTCCACTGCCCCTAAAAAACACAGCCCTGAAGCTCTACTTCTGCAGTGCTTATAAACACCCCATGAACAGAACTTTACCCCCTGCTACTTATATTTAATTGTCTGAACACATTTAACCCTTGTTATCTGAAAAAGTTATAACCCTAGCTAATACTTTGGATCTGGGTTTTTTTCTATTACTTATATCCTAGAGGGGGCCACGGGTTAAAAAAATATTTAGATAAAGCAGTGTAACTCACCTGCCACATTGTGTTCTTCCTAATGCAATTATTTCATAACCTGAAAAAGGTCTTTTATGACCAGTTTCTTCTTTCTTCATCTTGCAGTGAAATCATAAACTCATTTTGTAACAGTCTGCATATAGAAATTATTTTTACAATTGAACCACTTTTATTTCACTGCAGAAATAACTATGAAGAGAAAATGGGTTTGCCCCTGTTCAGAGTTATGTTTAAACATACATAATGCTAGTATTGATAATTAGCAAACTAGCAAAAAATTGATAAATGAGTTAATTCACTCCTACTCTGAAAATTGACACCTTTTTAGGCTGTGTGTACATTACCAATTTTTGCCATATTTGAATATGGTTGAATAGAATGGAGTTAGATGACATGATGCTGACCACTTTAGACTGTATTCACTAGGAGAAAGTGTTTTTTAACATTTGGTGGAATTTTACTGTAGAGAAGGCAAGTTGTACTTTTAACATCCATTATATAGTGGAGATAAAGTCTAGAAGGTAGACTAGAATTTACTTGAATGAACTCATACAAGAACACCTTGTATTCATAATCTGGAAGTGGCCTCAGTGGTCAGCATAGATTAGTATGAATCATGATAAGCACGTGGCTCAGTCTGATTAAGCCCAGATCCAGATTGCATACACAGTGGAACCAAGAATCCTAGGTGCTTGCTTTACTGATAAAATTAGGGTTTTTTTAAATCCCTGTTACCACTGCAGTCAGTATAACAGGAGAATGAGCTGGATTCCATTTTGGTTCAGCAAAACTAGTTATCTTAATTCTAATGGTAGAATACTTATCAGTGAGCCAGAAAAAAAGACTGTTTGACTTTGAGATTGTTTAATTTTAAAAAAATTATATATAAAGAACATGTAATCTGGAAGTTCGAGAGACACACACATAGGACATTACCTTGTCATTTTCCCCCATAAAGTCACTTTTCAGAACAGAGTCACACCTCAAATTTGGTTCTGAGTATGATTTTTTATTATATGTAAAGTTGAATGTTTTCTGCATTATGTGACACAGTGTTTGGGGGATTTTATACTGCCATTATAAAAGGAAGGAACTCACTGTGATCCTCTCTTTAAGGCCTTTTTAAATGTTTTTCCCGCCCCCAGTAATGCATGCGGAGTGTACCTGGTCATCCAACTCTTACATGCAGCACTTATCCTTTTGGAGAAAAACTAGAGCATCCTGCTGCTCAATTAAATGTCAGCCCTGAAACACTGCAAGAAAAAACACATCTACACATTGGAAATTAAACAAAAGGGGGAGGGGGGAAGGGGTAGAAAATTACACAATTTTGCTAAAAGTTACTCACTCCATGCAACTATTTATAGAAAACAAGGGCAAAAGAAAGTTAAGGGAAATGTTACCAAATGTGCTATGTTCTGTGAGGCACAAGGTTTACATTTTAAGATTTGTACAGTTTTGATATTTCTTGTGTTGTACGAGTATGCAGACAATATGAGCATAATAAAGTAGTAGTACTTGTGGAATCTTCATTATAGTAAGCTTATTCTAACATTATATAAATCTAACTTCAAGTGTGTTTGCTGTCTTTTGTCTGAACCCTCATTAGAACAAGACAGACAAGGCACAGTTCATTCCTTCAAATGTATTTGTACAGAACTAAAAAAATTCTTAGTATGGATGTCTTAATGTCAGCTCATGAGTCATACTCTGATGATTGTAATTATATAATGAATTAAAGCAAAGAACTGCAGAATGTACTGTAAAATGCAATTGATGAATGATAGGGCAAGCTAAAAAAACTAAATGTATTAAAAGACAGTAATTCGTATGGTGCTATTACAATAGGGTATTGTTAGAAGTAGTGTGACATTTGCCCTGTGCCAGCTGTGGCTTCCAGTGTGGTAGGTGCTGTATGAACACTGAGTGGCAGTCCCTACCCTAATGTTTATATTCTGTAAATCCTGTAATGTAATCCTGAAGAATTAAATGAGTTTTAAATAGCAGAAATCTGGTAAAACTAAGAAAAATTGAGTCCTGGGAATGTTTGAATTGTTTATGCAGCATTGTTTGGTCAGGTGCAACTTAGCGGGGTCTGCAAGTCTCACAAAGGAGCTGGGGGTAGCGGGAGGGATGATCATGGCTTTGGAGGAGTGTTTCAAAGCCAAGGCGACAATGTGTAAACTCTACCCCACTACAGGGGTGGTCGATAACTACTTACATCAAATAAAATAAACGCTCCTGTATGGCAGAAGAGGGAAAGTGCGGCTGGCACTGAGTGGCACAGCTGAAACTTTGCCCCTTGGCCATGGAAGTGGGACGCCTGTTCCTCCTCTTACATGGGTTGGTAGATTAATGTGCATTTCATGTGGAAGTGAGAGCTTTCTAGGGCTGGGCCCAGGGCCGGGGCAGCCCGCCCGCTTGAGACCAGGGCTAGGGGAAACCAGGTGCGTATCGCAAGCCAAAAGCACCCGCCGGCTGCTGTCGGCGCCCAGGAGCAGTCTTCCTGTCAGCAGCAGATGCTGGAGAGCCGAGGGCCGGCGGGGCGAGGTGGAGCCGCGGCCGGTGAGTCTCGCTGGCGGCTGGGGCACGCGGGCTTCGCTCAGGCGTACCTGGGCGGCCAGGTAAAGCTGGGGCGGGGCCGGCGCGCACGCGCAGTACAGGCGCCAGCCCCCAGCGCTCACCTGGACGCAGCAGCGGCTCCGCTGGCTGGAGAGGCGCGCTGAGGAGAGCCCGGCCGCCTGATCCGCGTCTTCCCGCCACACGAGGTGAGCTGCCCCCGCCGCTGGGGGCGTCGGACGCTGACCCCCTGGGCCGGGGGAACCATTCAGGGCGCGGTGCGAGGCCCGCGGGGGCGCCTCGTCCCTTAGGAGCCCTGTTGCGGTGACCGCCACTGCTCCACCATCCCGGCCCCGTGTGGTTGCGGCCGGTTCCCGGGCCGTGGTCCCCGCTTGCGTGCTGGCAGGGCCTAGTCCTATCCCCTCAGGGCGGGGTGGTGGCCGCAGCTCCCCGGTAACTGTCCCGTATGGGGCGGGCAAAGCGCTCCCAGGCCAAACGCGAGCGTGGTGGGTCTCTCATCCTGCTCCAGCGCAGCCCGGCTCTGTGTCTAGCGCCCGGGTGTGTCTGCCCGCTCCCGGGGAGGCACAAAGCCAAGCTATTGCTGAAGGTTGCTTAGAAAGTAGAAGCGAGCGGCTGCTATGTGGCGAAGGGCAAACAAGTGTCCAGGAAGCACTCGCTATTATCCGGACCGCTTCTCAAACAGACCTGTTGACTAAAGGAGGCGTATCCTGTTTGGGTTGGCCAGTCCCATGACTTAGTTAAGGTGTTGTCTGCAACTTGCTTGCGCCTCAATGTAACGCTGCCCCTTTCTAATCTAAGTGGCTAGTCAGAGTTTAGTGCGCGGGGGAAACCAGTGGCACCAAGTCAGATACATGGCGTGTGTGTGTGTGTGTAAATTCTCATCCCTGCCTATCCACGTGAGCTGTTCTGGTCCCGACCCCCCGTGGGACCCTGTGTCTGTCTCTGCTAGGGAGGTTCCCTCTTTCTTATCCACACAGTGCATGAGCCAGTGCCACCAGGAGTTGAGTTCTTGGCAGACTTCCCTATGCTGTGCTGTACAGGAACAGGTTCCCTGTGCACCAAGTTGCAGTGCTACTCCATCTGGCAGCAGGCCAAATTTGAGTGGTGTGACCCTATGCACCATGTTACAGTGCCACTCCCTGAAATTTGGCCTGGCGATTCCATCTCTCTGGAGGAACAGCCAGCTCAGATTTCAGTACTGGACCTCTCTGACAGAAGCCATATTGATTTAATATGGCAGCACTGCTTAAAAGTGGTCAGATCATGACCCTTCTATCTCCCTGATCTATGGGACTTTGAGCAAGTGCAAAAACCTTTGGTGAGGAGAGGGAGCATTTGCCCTGCCTCCCCCACCCCCAACTTATGCCACTGTTGGAGAGTTGGAAGTAGAAGTGGGTGGAGTCTTTTTGTTTTATGCAGTGTTGTTTGTTTACAAGGAATATACAAAGTCCTGCTTCTGTGAATGCAGGAGGAACAAAGAACAAAATATCCAGTTTCTACAGCATCAAGCCTCTTTAGCCAACATTAGACCCAGAGAACTTGCTATCTAGCTTTTTCTTGGATCACTGTGCTCAGAAGCTAATGTTTGACTTTCTTGCCTTTTGCCTCTGCCTCTTTGTTCTTATCTGTTCTCAGTTTCTCTCTCTTCTGCTAATTTTCTCACACACACACACTTACCCAAACAATACTCAGCAAATCCCCTCCTCCAAAACTTCTAGATGGGTTTATATAAGAATGTCCATACTGGGTCAGAGCCATGATCCATCCTATCTTCTGAAAGTGGTCAGTGTCAGATGCTTCAGAGCAGGACTACACTGAAAACTTACATCAGCACAGCTGTGTCTCTCACGACTGAAAATTCCACACCACTGAGAGATGCCGAACTAACCCGGTCCACCTATCTACAGCCTCTCGGGGAGGTAGATAAAAGCTTAGTCTATACTACAAAATTAAGTTGGCTTACCTCCAGTCATCATAGGTTGTGAACCACTGTTGTGGCACAGCTGTGCTGCTATAGCATTAAGTGTAGCTATAACCTAACTATGGTGAAGGGAGAACTTCTGTCACTATAGTGAATGTCTACACTGAAGCACTGCTGCAGCAGTGCCACTAGCAATTTGAGTGTAGACATAACCTCAGAAGAAATGAACTGAACAGGACATTTACATGATCTTTTTGCCATAGGTAGGTTAATTTATCCTTACATTTCTGTTAATTGACATAAATCCAACATAAATCCATAAAAAGGCTTTACTCAGCTCTTATAAAGACAAAGTGTTGTTGCACTGAACACTATCTTGTTAATAGTATCATTTAATCAGCTCCCTCTCACTATCTTTATATAATTCACATCGGATTTATTTTTTAAAAACCTGTTATTGAATTATGTTTCCCTCTCTGAAGCCTCATTTATACTCTTAAGACACTGGACAAAGGAGTTGCATGATTTATCAAGTTTTCTCTTAAGTCTTGGATAGGTGGTTTATAAAATAGATTTGGTTTATAAAAATTGTAGTTATGAGGTAAACTTACAAGTCCACACAATTGAAATTCCTAGGCTACGAAATTTTGTTGTAAACATTTTGTATAACTATAATCAAAATCATTACATGTTTTTACAAATATTTGAATAAAATGAAAAATGATTATTTTAACATACCTGCGGTATCGAACGTGTCAAACTCACAGTATAGTATTTAAATACATAGCTCCTAATATATTTATGGTATCTTGCACAGTAGTCTTCTGACACAAAATGACAGCATTTGTTCCATGTTTTAGTTTTAATGTTACCTATATTACCTTAAAAGCATTGCATCAGTTAGAAAATAATGTACTTAAAAATATCTTTTGGATTATGTCTAGGTACTTTAGGCCAAATGTGTAATTGATTTATTGAGTTATCTAGGTTAGTGCAACCTCCCTAACTGCCATGGCATCTGCCGCCGTGCTGTCTTTAGCCCCAATCCTACAATGGGTTCGGTGAAGGCCCATACAGGCAGACTAAGGTCGGGGAGGTACAGGACTGGATGAAACACAATTATTGAAATATGTGGTTGAGATTTGGTATCTGTTGTTTAGTTCCAGGATTAAAAAATAAAATAAAAATCAATACCTCTCAATGCTAACATCATAGGAAGGCTGCAAGTCTGTCATGGAGGTCACAGAAGTCACTGATTTCATGACTTTCCGGGACCTCCATGACTGCTGGTGCAACTGGCCCGGTGGCCGCTCGAGCTGCTCAGGCAACCCCTGGGCCAGCTGCACCAACCGCTGCTAGGGCAGTCTTGGGCCACTGTGGGCCCCCCACAACAGTAGCAAGAGTTTGGGAGTGGAAAGGGGATGGGGATTGGGGCGGGGGAGGAGGTGAGGGCTCAGGGGCAGCGCTTACCTCAGGGGGCTCCCCAGAAGCGGCAACATGTCCCTCCCTCCCTGCATCCCTAGGGCTCCTAAGCAGAGGTGCGGCCAGCCAGGCGGCTCTGCTCACTGCCTTCAACTGCAGGCACTGCCCCCACAGCTCCCATTGGCTGTGGTTCCCAGCCAATGGGAGCTGCGGAGCGGGCACTCAGGGTGGGGGCAACGCATGAAGCCCCCCTGGCCGTGCCCCCATCTATGGGCCACTGGGTCATGCCGACCGCTTCCAGGAGCCGGGCAGGGAGCCCAGGCAAAATGTATCCTTGCCTATTCCTTGTTCTGGACTTCTTTGTCTCCTGTACTTCCATGCATGGTGGTTGGAAGTGGGAAAGTAATGGCATTACTCATTTTGTGCTACTACAGTTGAATTCTTCGAGGTTCTGACCATCTTGGGAGTTGTGTGCTCAGCAGTCTGCACTTTGCAAGATCAAACCCTTACTGATTCTGTACTACTTCGAGTGCTTGCTCATGTCGATTCTATTCTAGGTGTGTGCATGCCCATGTGGGTGCACAGTCGTCAGAGACTTTTGCCTTGGTGGTATTCGTAGGTTCAGCTGCGGCGCTCCCTTGTCAGTATATTAGATGCCGCCCACCCGATTCATTCTTACCACACGGGACGGTTGGTTGGAGCACCTTGTCTTGCATCACAAGAGCGTTAGTGGCTCTTACAGTCCATTGTGCTGTCTCCTTTGTATTTAGTTGATAGGTTCAGAAAAGGGCAACAAAAATGATTAAGGGTAAGGAACAGCTTCTGTATGAGGAGAGATTAATAAGACCAGGACTTTTTAGCTTGAAAAGAGATGACTAAGGGGAGATATGGTTGAAGTCTATAATATCATGGCTGGTGTGAAGAAAGTAAATAAGGAAGTGTTATTTACTCCTTCTCACACCAGAAGGACTAAGGGTCACCAAATAAAATTAATAGGCAGGAGATTTAAAATAAACAAAAGGAAATATTTCTTCACACAACGCACAGTCAACCTATGGAACTCTTTGCCAGAGGATGTTGTGAAGGCCGAGACTATAACAGGGTTCAGAAAGAACTAGATAAGTTCCTGGAGGATAGGTCCATCAATGGCTATTAGCCAGGATGGACAGGGATGGTGTCCCTAGCCTCTGTTTGCCAGAAGCTGGGTATGGACGATGGGCTGGATCACTTGATGATTAGCTGTTTTGTTTATTCCCTCTGGGGCACCCGGCATTGGCCACTGTTGGAAGAGAAGATACTGGGCTAGATGGACCTTTGGTCTGACCTACTATGGCCGTTCTTGTGTTCTTATTATGGTCACTACTGCTCCCGCTATAGCAATGCGATTCTGGTAGATGCATTTTAGCCATTTAAGTAATATCAAAATGAAATAAAATTAAGCCTTGCCCTGAATTAATGGATTTTTAAACATACAGAGCTGTGAATCCATGTGTATCACAATATTGACAAAGGGATGGGCCTTCTGTACTAAAACTGTCTTTTGCGTGTGACCTATTCATTGCACTAATTTTATAGTACAACTAAAAGCTTCTTGTATTGCAAAATATTTGACTCCTTAAACCATACCATTCATTTTTTAGTTGAAAAGCACATGCTAAGGGCTCTTACACAAAATAACTTCCTAGTCTTGATTTCTACATTCAGTAACAGTATGTATAGGCTAAAAGGTATGCTTGGTTGCAGAATCCCTTCCCCACAAAAATGATGGGCTAAGCAGATAATTCTGATCAGATACACATTATGGTGTCTCTTGGAGTCAGAGGCTGGGTTACAATGTCTGTGATG